CTTTTTTACTTTGGTCCCTAAGTCAGTGCCTCAATCATCAGAGGCATTTATCATCATTTAATGACCAAATAAAACTTCATTTCCATTAAGACTATATCAGAGTTCTGCCATCACCCATGACTTTTTCTAAAGCTCTTTTTTTGAGTTCTATCTTTAGTTCAAACTATCTCTTGGAACTCCACAAGCCTGCAATTTATTATTGGAAGTAACATTTCTTTTCTTTGTAAATATAACTCTTATGATTCAAGAACTACCTTCCTTCCTCTACTGTCTTCCATCTCTGCCATGCTACTACCCAAAGATCAGTTAATAAGACCATATTAATCTTATCCAATTATATAATATGATATATTATCACATGCCCTTGTAATTCTAGTCTAACAAAAGACCTATCATCATTTGAGAATACCTCTCCCAACCCCTATTCTAAGTTATTTTAATATTTTAAATGTTGTTGTCTGATACACTCATATATATTTCCTATGTTAGCAATGAAGTCTTTCTGTGACTATTTGCACCTGAAGGTTTTGTTTCTCTGGAAATATTTATTGCTACATATGACCTAGAAAGGCAGATAGTAAAAAATAGGTCCAAAATATGTAGTGAGGTTGGATTTATACATAAAATGAATAAGGTCTGGTGTAGCTGCTCCATTTATTTTTGCAATCTCAACAATCAGTGCCAATGGCTGTGTGGTCAGTTTTGCTGTTGTGATGTTGCTGTGGATTCTTCTAGCCATCCCAGATAGCCACTGCCTGAGAGAGATTATGGTTATAAAGTCTGTGAACATTTCATGAATCAGAAATAGAAGTATCCCTAGTTATTAGCATACTTTCGATATGCTACTTCTGACTGACACTTGAAAATATAAGGAGCTATTCTACTTCAGAACTAGTTAGCTGGTCAGGCTGTGTCGCTTATGCCCGCAGTTCACAGATTTATGAGGCATTAGCAAGAAGGAAGATGAGTGAGGGCAATGGTCCTCGGTATGTGTCTTAGTCGTTTAGAGCTGCTATAACAAAATACCACTGACTAAGTAGCCTGTGAACAGCCGAAATTCATCTCACAGTTCTAGAGACTTAAGTCTAAGATCAGGATGCCAGCATGGTCTGGTGAGGGCCCTCATCTTGGTCACAGACTTCTCGGTGTATCCTCATATGGCAGAAGGGTCTGGGAATCTCTCTGGAGCCTCTTTTATAAGGCCCTAATTCTATTCATGAGAGTTCCACCTGCGTGAATTTTAAGCACCTCCCAAAGACCCCCACCTACTAATACAATCACCTGTAGGGGTTAGGATTTCAACATATGAATTTTGGGAGGACACAAACATTCAGATCATAGCAGTATGGAACAAACTCTTATTAGTGGCAGAGAGTGGAGGACAGCATGGTTCATAGTAACAGAAGGATCTTATATAGCCATGGGGTCCACTGAATGGTAAAAATGCAAAAAATAAGAATGGCCAGGCATTTCTAAGCAAGCACCATGTGCTGCTGAGGAAAGGAACGCCATATTTAACCCCTAGCTCAACAGGATTAGTTTCTCCCTTTTTGAGTGGAGGGACTATAGGAAAACATCTCTCATTCTATAATGTAAGTCAATACAAGAATGCTTCTCTTAGAACTTGAAAGAGTTAAGTATTTAGGGAAAAGAGAGAAAGAACTCCAAAGAAGGCAATTTTCTGGATTTAGTTCTCTGGTTTTATTGCAAGGTGTATTGTGAACTATTGCTTGAGTTGTCACTTTCAAAGTTCACATCACTGATGCAAGGAAGTCTGGTTTCAAACAAGTCTGGGATGGATATGAAAAATCCAGTGGGGCCAGGGCCATTCTTTGAGCTGGCTCATATGTGCATGCTTGAAGCCTATCAAGAGTTTTCTGTAACACAGAATAACAATTTAATTTGTCAAATATATGTTTTTTATTAAGAAAAAGAATGATTCTCTTTACAGAAAATATAATTATACCCAACCATATTGGAATAAATATGTTTCATAAAGAAAAAAGTGCCATCACTTAAAGAACTTTTTTATTATTTGTTTTTAGTCAAGGAGTGAAATTACATTAGGACCATACATGATGGGACTTCTAAGCGTGGCTTAAATTTCTATATCCAGTAACTAAGATGTAATCATCATAACAGAGTCACCATCATGACTAAAATACCTTTTGTTGTAAACACCTGTTCATATGTCTGATTCTTTTCCTCAGCTTTGACCTTCTCAAGGGCCTTCAGAAATATTCAAAGATCATGTATTGCCCAGCCTAGTCCCTAATCACCTAGCATAGAACTCATCTTTGTAGCAATTTAATGACTATTTTCAGAATTGATTTGAATAGCTGAGAAAGTACCGCCTGGCCAGGATCCTTGGAGAAAAATCATAGAAATATACCCTCCAGAGATATATACTATCTCAGAAGTCGGTCTCCCTTAAGATCAGCTTTGGAAAAGCTATCCCAGCCATCTACTAGGTGAAGATAGGTTCTTAAATGATGTTTGAGGAGTCAGCACTTCTAAAACACCCAACTATAGAAGAAAGTAAGCTTTAGCATGCTAAGTAATCTCAGAGAGGTAGCTTTCTCTAGAGGACAGAAAATCCCCCTAGGGATGACACTTTTCTTTTTTATTGGCTATAATCACCTGCCAGGCTGATGGGAGCAGCAGGGGTTGCAGCTGCTAATATGCCACTGATGTGCCACTCTGGGAAGGATGCACATAGCACTGCTGGCCAGAGGCCAAAAATGGGCCTACGCATACAGAGCATGCATACACTGCGTGATTTAGCAACATCTGGGGCTTTGCCTTCAGATACATTAAAGAGCAGAGAATTGGAAGCCAACTTAGACAGACAGCCATAAGAAACATAAACAGTGCTGTGAAGTAACTAAATATACTCCTTTGAGATTTTCTCTCGAGAGTCTATCCAAATGAAGACCCTGACTAATTTCTTCTCAACGCTTTAGCAGCAAAATGTATCTTAGTTTTGGTAGATAGGACACAATGAGGATTTAGTAGTCTGGGGAGTTTCTGAGTCTTCTGGAGAAAATGTGTCTGCAGCATAGACATGGGCAAATTGATTTGAGCCATAATGCTGAAGCTCTCAGGGCAATGAATGTGAATTTTTACATATAACATATACTAATTGGTTAAAAATAAAGTTATTAGTGTGACACAGAAAAATATGCAATAATCACCATGGGCTTTATCATAATTGTTGATAAATTTGCAATATGAGACAGAGGAATAAAAACTGCCATATCTTTGATATTTTGTGCCCTATTTTCTTGTGTCAGAGTTGGAGATCATTAGGTTTATTGCTCAAGTTAAAGTTTTTCAATGTTTATTCAACTCAAAGTTTTATTAATCTGATTAAAGTTTGAGTTTTGGATAAGCCAAATTCAGCTATTACATGAAACATAAGTAATTCCCAGAGTAACCAAGCATGGCCGCTTATTTTAATCTGCATTTAACTACCGTATATTTTATCTAAATTCAGATGCAAGTCACATAACCTAATGCAAAGGCATTCAACCTAAACTCTCAGGGGAATGCCATTTATTAACATCTTCATGATTCAAGAAATACTTAGTACTAAACTTGAACACATTAAAGACGAAAAACTAACATGCCATTTGGGCTATGACCTTACATAGCCCATATTGTGATCAGCACATCTTTTCCCCAATAAACTTTGGGCTTAGTTAGAAAGAAATTATTGTCTGGTTGGCATCCCTATTATAGAAGAATTCATATTCAGGGAGAGAATTTCTTTAAGAGGCCACTGAAGGCAGCTTACCAATCCCTGTGTTGTGGGGTTGTCACCTGGACTACATTGACCTATGAACTATTTATTATATAGGTAGGATGCCACTATTAAGTGCTATGTAGGACTCAGATATAAAATAAAGTATGTCCATATGGCTCTGCCTTTTGAGGAATTTAAAACAATTCAATATTTGGGGGGCTGAAAAGACTTGTGTGCATGGAAACTGCTAGAGAGAACAATGCAAAAATGTGGTTTTGGTTTTATAAATCCCACAAGAATTTGGAGAGAAATATGCAGAGAGAGAGAGACAAGAGAGTCATTTAAGGAGCATAAGAGAAAGAGAGATAGGAGTTAGGTCAGACCTAAATGAGGAGGGAGGGATCTGGCTGGTGGAGATAAAAGGGGATGATGACCATTGGATGCAGAATCAGGAAAGGAGTGAAGCAGGAGTGGGCATGTCGAGCATTGAAAATGGTAAAATTATGCCAGCCTATTTAAGAGTGAGGGCCTCTGATGGTAAGTTTGGAGAGAGATTGTGGAGTAGTCAGAGTGGAATCAGGTAAAACTGAATCCTATATGGAGGCCCGGAAAGGTTAAAGGACTTTCCCAGGCACATTCCTAAAATGTGGCAGAAATGAAACTCAACGTTAAATGATATCCTCGATACTATACTGGTGCCTTTTTCCAGATTTAACACGAAGTCATCTATCTGGGTTATACTTAGCAGCAGTAAAGTGGTGTTGATGCTGGACTTAGAACCACCCTATCACAGTCATAGGGTTAACTTTCATGGGAGTTATCTAATAATATCATCTGAAATGGCCTAGACCTATCCTAGCCAGCTTGTTAGAAACCATCAGTTTGTGTTTTTAATGGAATAGTTATATTTAATTCCTTTTACTTTTTCTTGACTTTAACAGATGAGATGCCATTGTCTTGGTTGTGTTTAATTTTGTAAAATACAAATCAGTATATGAATAAGACATGTGGATATCTAAGATCAATTGGTTCTATAGCGCAAATAATCCCATAGGAACAGTCTACGGCTATCATACAACCTCTCCTCCCCAATATCTACTAATGTAAGGGAAGTATAATTGCACCATTATCACGTTATAGGCTAACACCAGTGTAGTCAAAACTGTCTATGGGTTGCCATGACAACCCCATCTAAGATAAAAATGAAAATGGTATTCACAATACATATTTACCTAGAGTTTATTTTGTCTTCTAGGCTCTTCAATGGCCAACAAGGAATTATAATTCAAAATTTTAGCACAAGATCCATTCTCACGGTTACCAACGTGACCCAGGAGCACTTCGGCAACTATACTTGTGTGGCTGCCAACAAGCTCGGCACAACCAATGCTAGCCTGCCTCTCACCCGTAAGTAACACAGTGTTGCCAAAACGCTTCCAGGGGCCTCTTGGCTCCTATCCAGTAGTAGAGGAAAAACCTAAGAATGGAGTAAGTTCATTTTAGAACTCAGCCTGATGTGACATGTTCTTTACACAAAGGACACTTGGCCCCAAAATAGTATGGGTGTTCAAGAATTTTATAATCTCTATAGAAGTCTAAATGTGTTCAGGAAAATGTCTTACAGCTAAGAAAAGTGAAAAATTTACATAAATAATAAGACCCACTGAAAAATGTCTTCTGACTGAAAACAGTGGGTTTAGTGGAGTTTTGTTTGTTTTTAAAAATGTGTTATATTATCTTTAAGCATAGATTAATTTGGGTTGAATTTATTCTTGGTTGGTTTACTTTAGATATTCATCTTGGAATAGCAAGAATTTCACATGCCATAAGTAAAATGAAATAGGAAGTTAATGATCATGGACAAAGTATTTTATCCATATAGATAATGCTTTTACTCAAAACTGTATTTTGAAATACGACTGAAGGTTTTACTAAAATAAATGCTATATTTCTAATGTATCTTAGTTCCTAAAAATTAGAAATTAAAAAAGAAGAGCAAACACAAGTATTAGTTGAAGGGAGAGAAACCTATGCTAATGTTTTCTCCTACAGTTAGTTTTAGTGCTTTTTTTAGAAGCTGAGTAACCAACAAATTGTTATAACTATAAAATATTCCTGATTTGACGTGGAGTGTTTCTCAAAATGTTCGAAGAAGATTACACAGAATACACTGTCTTTTCAGTTCCACAAAGTTATCTGAATCATCCTTATCTTTCATAGTTACTATTTTTATAATAACCTGACATATGTATATTTGTTATTGTCCTGTGATAGTAAGCTGTTTCTGAAAAATGCAAATATTATGTAGTTCATCACAGACATGATCATTTCCATTTCAAAGAAATGGGGATGGGGCGTATAATATTCCTACTACTTAAAAATATACTATAATAAGAAGTTTCATGATTTATGAACTTTGGATTACCATCATTTCAGAACCTCTGATGTTAAATAAAATATATCAGTTTGTTGTTAATAGAAAGTAATCATTTAAAAGTGATTTGTTCTATATATACTTTTAAAACATCACATAATTTATTATTCCAGCTTAATATGACCTAATATTTCTTAGTATCTCCACTCTGAAAGAAAAACATTCCTGCCTTGTGATAGCCATAGTATATCATACTTGCTTAAGTTTCTTCCATGAGGATGATTTATTTAGTGTAATTATGAATAATATAAACCATTGAAAATATTATAAAGCAGCATGAATTCCAATTTAATGTAAATATTGATACTTCTTTGGTACGTTATTAACATTTTAAATGGTTTAAATATTCAAGAACCTGAAAGAATAAATGAATTAAAAAGGCAAAGTAAAGAAAAATTTAAGGCTTAATAATGCATTAACTTTTTGCTATTTAAATTTCCAAATCACATTCTGATTTTCAAAACTGAAGCATTAATGAATGCGACAAATTAGGAACAAATGTCACTTATTTAAGTGTTTGTTTTACTCTGGCAACCTCAACACATCAGCTGGGAATAATGCAGTGCTGAAAAGGCTTCTAAATATGGTATCTCCCGAATGGACTCTAATGATCTCGTTTTGCCACTGGCTTCCTGTCTGTAGAGGTGTTATGAAATACAAGTGCAGTTTGATTAATTTGTTAATAAAGACATGATATGCAAATCTTGTCTTTCATTATGAACATAGCTCTAGAAGTTTGAAGAAATTTCTGTATATTCAGAACTCTTATATATGACCTCATCTGAAACTCTTATTGCAGTAAGCGTTTCTATTTTGTACAATAATTATTTTTATATATATTTTTATCTCTCCACCAAATTATGTTTGTTAAGAATACAGGATCGATATCTGATTAATTATTTTGTCTCCCATATAACCAAGCACAGTGCCTGCTATTTAATAGGCAATCAGTAAATCTTTAGTGAATAAATAAATTAGTTTATAATAATAAGTGATTGAATGGATAATGAATAAATGAATGAATGAACTGTGTTTTTGCTATAGAATTTGTATTTGTAATCTCTAGATATACGAGGCAATATCACAGTGATTAAAAATAACACTTTTTATGGGTTTACGATAGACCAGATCCTATTCTAATCTCTTTATATGAATTTGTTCATTTAATTCTCACACAATCCAAAAGGTAAATCTATAATTCCCTTCTTACAGATGAGGAAACTAAGATGAAAAGAGATTAAAAGCTTGGCCAAAGTCAAATTGTTAATAAGTGACAAAGCAAAAACTTGAATCTTGGCAATCTGGCTTCAGAGCCCAAGGTTTTAACTCCTACCTTTGACTGTCTCTCACTATGAACATAAACCCTCAATGGAGTGAGAAATAAATTGTATCAGTTGAATAACATATTTGACCTTCTGGCAGTTTGATCAACTTTTCTTTAATTGTTTTGGATGCTATTTTTCAATATATAAAAACTATTTTTATATAAATATTTAGATATAAAAATCATACACCAGATATCAAATTTAAGTGTATGAAAGATGAATGGGGTCAACGTTTGACTGAAAGCTTATACAAAAATGAGACTCGGGGACATTTAAACACGCATTTTTATGGGATTTTAAATCTCCTTGGAATGATACAGTCATGCAACACCGCCATTGTGAATCTGCAAACTATTTATGGGGAAAGGCAGCTGTCTTAAAATTCATGCTGGCTGGAGAAAGTGATGTGTCCCTTGATAAGAACACCTGTCATGTATTCACGAGGTCTGTGAATGGGAGGGTCTTCAACCTCTAAACTGATCCAACACTAGAAGCCAGTTCTAAGCTGATCTAATATAGGCCTGTGACCTGCTAAAGAATTTTGCAAAATCTGTTACTAAAGAACAGCCCTCCATAGAGTTAAGGGAGTGTGTAAAGCTAACTTACCCATCTTCTCATCCAGGAGAAAGGAATTAGACTCCAGAGAGTCTGCCACCTGTGTACATGGTGATATTTGGAATGTGCCGTGAATAAGAAAATGTTCATGCTTTCCTGATTTGTAACCCTGAATAGTTAATACCCTCAAGAACAGGGTAATTGGAAATGTGAGTTACTTAGCATAGTGCTTATACATAGCAAACACTCAAACTGGTTGATAATAGCATTCCAACAGAGCTTTAGCCACTGGGAATCAGCTCTCTGTCCTCCATAATTATTTAGGATAAATCCTGAGACTATTATAATCTACTCCTCATTTGTAATAACCTACATTTTCCAGATCACCAGACAAAAGGCGAGAAGCTATAGTTTAGAGCTTTGCCATAACTAAGACCATCTAAAAAGGAAAGCAGCATTTTTTGGTGTGTAAACGTGTATGTGTGTGTGTGTGTGTTTCACTAAAGGGAGTCAAGCAGGCCTTGGTTTGAATCCCAGTTTTACCACATATCAGGTATGTGTGACTTTGAGTAAGTTACCTAAATGCCAAAGCCTCAGTTAATTCATTTATAAGATGAGGGCAATAATAGCTTCCACCTACAGGATAAAAATTAAATGAGATCGTGCATGTAAAGCATTTATCATTCAGCCTGGATCAAAGTAAGCATTCAATAAAAATTAGCCATTGTGATGTATCATATTCCTTAAGAACACTCAGTTCAACTCATTTCAAAAACCTATATATAGATGGCTGACCAAATTTGATGACTGACTGCCCAGTACTCTACTGAGGATTTAGATGGTAAACTGTCATTTGCAAGCCAGGGAGAAGGTGTGCAAATTTGAAATAATGTCCCAACTCCAGCTCATAACTTAACCTCATCCTTTGCTCAGGGCATGAAGCAGACTTTGTGGTGCTAATTCCAGATTAAATATGATGTTTGCAGCATAGAAGTTGAGACATCTAGGAGATGCAAAGGGTAAAGGCAGAACTAAAACAATTGTTCTATTTTGAGATTCAGATAATTTATTCAATAGCAACATTCATTCTTCAAATATATATGTTTACTGCCTACAGTGTACAAAGCACTGTGCTAGATGTTGGAAAGAAAAGGATTAATAGAACTGGAACCCCATCCTCAAAGTGTTCTCAGACAAATGAGAGGAGAGGGACAAGAAATAGACAACTATAATGCAGTATAGTCAATGGTAGCATGCTAGGGCAGAGAAGAGGCCCTTAATCCAGTCTCAAGGGCAATGGAAGGCCTGTCATCTAGCGTAAGTAATATCACTATATAAATTATAACTAAGATATAACTCAAAATAGCCTTTTAGCCCCATTGTCTCATTTTCAGAGGGAGAACTTTGCAGGGTTCATTCAACAACAATCATGAGCACAATGTGCATGGCACAAATGAGAGAATGATCAACTCAGTCTCAGTGACTCAGGGCAGGTTATAGCAGAGATAACCCTTGAAGTGAGGGTGTGATTGGGTTGAGCCTGGGTGTGGGAATGGTGATGAGAGAGAGAGAAAGAGAGACTCTAGTATGGAACAGCTCATGTAAAGACATGGTGGTATGAAACAATCTGTTACATTTGAAGACATGATAGTATTTCAATATGGTTGGAATGAAAGGTGGGAGAAGAGAGCGTTGAAAGATGAGGCTAGACAAGTTGGTGTATTTAGCACAGGAAGGGCTGCAAGTGAGTTTGGACTTTATCCTTCTGGTTTTGGAGAGCCATTGAAGGATGCTAATAAAGACAGGGTATAAACAGATGTCGTTTCTGAAAAACATTCTTAGGCAATGTGGAGGGCTCAACAAGAACATAATTGCACAAAAAAGAGTACCAGAGATGAGAGAGTTGAGAGATAATTAGAAGATAGGAGTTAATGACCAAATCTGGAGAGAATGGGAAGGGAATTGTAGGAATCTAAAGAACATCCAACGTTTAGTTTGGGTGACATTAACCAAGAAAAGAACACAAGAGGAGGATTAGCACTTTTAGATTTGGGGAGAAGCTGGAGATTGAAAGAAGAGAAATGAGTTCAATT